GATGAGGAGCCTCTTTCAAGATACGTTACCAATACCAGTGCTAATGAAAACCAAATGGTATCAAAAAATGGTGAATTTGTATGGTCAAGAACCCCATTAGAAGTCAGAGGTCGTTTGAGTAGTGTAAACCTAATAAAACTTCACCAGGCATTACCAGGTATGCTTCTAATCACATAAATACATTTAGAAGTTCTTTTGATTTATTTCTAAATAAGAGTATAAAATCTATAATTTTGAAACAAACAAATATAGAAGGTTCTTCACGTTTCGGAAATTGATGGGAAGTGTTAGATGAAACGGAGTTAGATGCATATCTAGGTATTCTTATTTTTGCTGGAGTTTTCATGTCTAACGATGAAAGTTTAGAAAGCTTATGGAAGACCCTATATTTCGGGCAACAATGTCCCTGAAACGTTTCAAACAAATTTCTGCGATTTTGCGTTTTGATAAACGTTCTAACCGAGAAGCAAGAAAACAGAGTGACAAATTAGCAGCTGTGAGAGATATGTGGGATGAATGGGTGAAGCTGTTGCCTATGTTTTATAATCCAAATATAAATATCACAATTGACGAACAGTTACTTTCATTTAGAGGTCGATGTCCTTTCCAACAATATATGCCAAGCAAACCAAGTAAATTGGCATAAAATTTTGGATATTGTGTGACAGTGAAACAGGATACGTTCGTTCAATTCAGTGTTATACTGGAAAACTCCAAGGAAGTGCTCCGGAAAAAAATCAAGGAATGCGTGTAGTTTTGGATCTGACAGAAGGTTTACAGGGCTACAACCTTACATGTGATAATTTTTTTACATCTTATGAATTAGCTGAAAAACTTTTAGATCGTAGACTTACCATTCTTGGAACCTTACGAAAAAATAAGCGACAGATACCCGTAGATCTTTTAGATACGAAGAAACCTGTTTTCATCTACTTTTGCATTCAATTCAAAAATGGTTCTTGTCTCAAACATTCCGAAAAAAAAAATGTAATTTTATTGAGTACAAATCACAACAAAATAGAAATTCTTGAATCAGAGCAGAAGAAACCAAAAATGATCATGGACTATAATGCAACAAAGGGTGCTGTTGATTTTTTGACAAAATGGTTTCTGCCTATAGTTGTAAACGAATGACTAGAAGGTGGCCAATAGCCATATTTCATAATATGATTGATATTTCATGTTTCAATGCTTATATATTATACTGTGACACCCACCCAGACTGGAAACAGAAGAGAACAGTACAAAGAAGGTTGTTTCTAGAGAAATTAGCCATGGAATTGGTAAATGATCACATCGAGCGTAAGAAAACTCTTCCTCGGACAAATGCTTCACTGGAATTAGTACTACGAGTGCAGTCAGGTGTTACTGAGACAACGAATACTTCCACTACTCAGAGCTCTAATAAAAGAAAAAGGTGTAGTGTATGTCCATCTTCAAAAGATGTAAAAACTTCAAAAATCTGTAAAAAATGTAAGAAACATATATGTCCGAAATATTCTGAAATTTTATGCCTTTTGTGTTGCCAAGAAAATGAGTAATATACAAATATAGTCGTTTATTGTATTCTTTATTTTTATTAAATAAATGTGTTTTAGAATTAATTAGATTTTGTATTTAATTTAAAGCAATTGCTTCATATTTTTGAAATCGGGTCAACATGACCCGAAGGCCTCACGTGTAAATAGTATTTAAAGAACCGAGGAAGGTTAATAAGTCGTGTGTAAAATAAACTTTGTTTTGCCGAATTCACTTCACAAGTTGTTAGTTAATAAGTATCACTTTCAGTTGCGTAAGATTAACGTTATTAGTAAAATGATTTAACACGTTTGTTAAATATAATGTATATCACTAAATACAAATACATACATTAAATTTTCGTAAATATACTGAGAATCCAAAGTTTATATATATTTTTTCCGAAATACAAAGTTTATTTTTATTTTCTGCAAGTGTAAATTATGGTTATTATTTATGTCAATAAGTCATAAATAATTACCACAATTTACTCATTTTCATGACAAACAACAATAAAAAACCTTTTTGTTGAATATTTTTTTAAACAACTGTCTTTTACTTTCGAAGGTTCTTGAAATCCCATCTAATTAAGAAATGTGGTGAAATCGAATATTTTTCTGATATATATTGACTTATCTTGTGCTCTATCCCTGCGAATGTGTGCTCAAATTCCAAGCTTACAAAAACCCTGTCATTGGCAATAAACGTTTCAAATATTTTTGTAAGTATATATTTTTTTGTTGCCTTTCATTGTACATTGTAATGTTTTCTTTAATAATCTTACATTTCGCAAGTACATCACATATTAAGTAAATCGTTAGATGGAAAACGTAAACCTCCTCTAGTATTCAAATTTATTAATTTATGAAAGAAATGCCTTTCTACAGTTTACAAACGCGCGGTGCATTTTTGGCACTTAGTTTTTTTTTGTTGCATAATGATCTTAGAAATAACATTAGAAAATAAGGAGATTTATATACTAAGCTGAACATGGCATAAAAGAAATTAAATCACGATTGCAGCGCTTCGTTGTGGACTACGATCATAAAACACATTTTAAGAACCTTCTTAACCGTATTGTTGCGCGCCACTATTAATGTCTTGTACATGGCAACACTAGTTACACTAGCGCCCCCTAGTGTCGAGTAAATGAAAGTATTGCGCGCCACTATTAATGTCTTGTACATGGCAACACTAGTTACACTAGCGCCCTCTAGTGTCGAGTAGCAGAACTAGGAGAGTCGAGATCCTTCCAGAAATTTCGGAGCCGATATGTACTCGTACATTCTAGATGTCGCTTCAGTAGAAGGTTCTGGAAATTAGCTGAGGCCCTATATAAGGCCGGTATAGACCACGACCGGGGCAGTATTGAATTGGCGATACAAGAGAATACTTCGAAGCGAAATAATGGCGAACTGTGTTTTATTATTAGTGTGATTTTAGATTGTAATTAGTGTTGTGTAATTAAAGTGTCAGTTTTGGTAATTTAATCGGCAGTTTTTAATTGTCTCGAACCCCAAGCTCGTAACAGTATTATAATCGGTCCAATTTTCAGGAAATGGTAACATAGTAAAAAATAAAAATCACGATTACAGCTCAACATAAGGGACTTTTTTTTTATAGGATAATGGTGACAAATGAGCACACAGTCCATCTGATGGTAAGTGGTTGCTGCGGCCCATAGACATCTACATCTATCCTCTGTTACAAATCAAAATGTAGATGCGTTGTCACCCGTGAGGACTAAGATGGAATGCCTTATTTCCAGTAAAAAAGGCCTCCGGCCACCTGCACTCACCAAGCGAAACGCAGAGGTAAACCTCTACTTCACGCTGGTTTTCTGTGAGGTCGTGGTACTACCCCGGTTCGAGCCGGCCCATCCGTGCAACAGCAAAAGCTGCCGCGTGGCTCTACCACTGTGAAAACTTGGACTTTGGCCAAAAAATGCATAAAACCGCATTATAATCAATTGGGTAATTTTTCAACAAAAAAGTGCACATAAAACAACCTTAAGAGGTTGTTGGGCAAACATATATACCGTATCCGTGCCAACTTGGGTAAAAATAGCATTTTCCCAAACTTCGGGTAATTTTCCCTATAAATACAACACTGATCACGTGACTCATGTTTTGTGTTCCAAAAATAGCATTATAATTTAAGACAAAATTCTCAAATAAGTGATTATAATTACTGACTCACCTATGAAAGGTGATTCCTTGCTGTTTTTTGGATAAAACCACCATGAGTTTTACAAAATTTAACGACGCAAGACGGCATATTGATTTTTGTTTTTATTTACGACAACTACTTCTCGCGGATGATGTTTGTTGCGTAATGGCGGGCGCTAGACTTATTATACGTGTGAATGTGTGCGTGGCCCCTTGTACGTACAAGCGAGCTGACTTATTTTGGGTGCCTCGCTGTGTTGTATAGCGAGATTCCGTCCGCCTTTTTTTATACATCCATGGTATGGAATCAAGCACTGTACTAGTGTGAACGATGCCAGGTATCGCATATTCCTAAAAAGTTACTCCGCTAAAGTAGGCACTATTTTTTTTTTAAAGTAAAAAGTTTCGACTAACATTATACTTATTTTCTTTAATGCAAAAAATTTTGCGAACAATACACGTCTATTCTATGTGGCTTAATGCATCTGATCCATACTCTATAAAATTACGCTCTGAAAACTTTGGGTTTTGGAAAATAATTATTGCATGTTTAAAACCAATTGGATTTGTTGGAAAATGTAAATGAAGAACAATAATTTTGAATATTATAAAATTATTGAATTGATTTTAAAACTTTAAAGCATGGCAATAATATTCCATGAACCGTTTTTGCAGGCAAGCCTATACGATTATTTGCGTAATTAAATCATCTTTCTTCTGAAACCACCCATTTTTATTGGTTAACATATCGCTGTAATTACCTATATTGACTTTTCATACCTGCTTGCCAGGTAGCCATGAATAGTTATACATAATTATTATATACGTTAATTTAAATAAACATAATTTATTATTTATTTCTTTTCCTGTTTTATTTGTTTTTAATCTAACAGAAACAAATTTAGTATTGTTGTAGCGTAGTCTTTAATTTATATAACTTTATAAATTAGCAGTAAGCATTAAATACGAAAACTCTGATAAATTTAGTTTTGAGTGATTTCTTTCTAATTTATTCTGGTATTAATCTAGAGATAAAACTATAAATGATTACCAACTCAAGAATCGATATCTCTTAAGAATCGAATAGTTGTTGTTTGTTTTTCAATTGGAATGCCTAGTAGCTATTTCTTAGATTTGGTATAAATAACATTTTTTTACCACAATAAGTGTCTTGTGCCAACTATCTTTCATTTTGCAACACATTTGACGATTTTGATCACTTTCCTTTCTTCTTCTAAAATTAAGTTACCAGTAAAAACAAAAATATAGAATAATGTTTTTCTTTTTTTATAATACTTTATTTTCATTTTATAGGTAGCAAAAATTTTCATCCCATATGCAATGAGAGCGAAAAAAGTGGACATGAAACAACTAAAACACTGTACATGGAAAATGCTCACAAGTAACACACCAGAAGGAGAAAAAGAGGACGTGCAACAAACTACCTTCTTTTCAATTTATTCTCGACTACCAAATAAGCTATCGACAAATATGCGCGAATCTCTCAGTGTACCATTAGCTTTACTTTCGGTCCTTCATTTAGCTAATGAAAAAGGACTTATATTAGAAAAACGTGAAAATCTCAAAGATATTGGTATTTTGGGTCTTATAAAGTAATAGAGCAATTACGTTTTTAGCTTACATATAGTATCTCGTCAGGCCTTAAAAATGCAAGTGATGCAGTATGGTTATAAAACACTGTCCTTTCTAGTAGGACATATATATTTTGATATATTTTAAATAATTTTTGTGATTATTTTTGCAGATATGTTGGCCGTTCATTTTGTAAATATATTTAATATAGCTTGTTCATTCATACCATGTTAATATTAAAAGATTTAATTTAACATTGTACAGATGTTTTAGTAAGATTTATACATGTAATCTATTTTGTTTATGATAAATATATAATATAGTAAATGTGTGATTTTATTGAAATGCTAATAAACCGTATCATACCACTGACCTCCATTTATACCAGATAATAGAGGTCAGTAGTATCATAAACACAAGACTTAATAAGTAAAAAGCTTAGTCTTAGACAATATTTATTTTCTGCAACAATTAAACCTTTTGCAAACATAACTATTATGACAATGTTTAAGAATGTTGAACAATATAATATTTTAATTTGCTGAATTTTTATTGAACAATAACTCTTAATTTTTGCATATAAATATGCTACATTCTGTCATTGTTCAAGTAGCTATCTTGAAAGGAAATCAAAGTGTTCAACTTTTATAACAATAAATGTAAAAGTAAAAAACAAATTATACAAGTTGTAGCCGCCAAATACTGAAATAATGTAATGAATTATATGTTGACTGATTGTTTTTTAATATAAATACAAAATGAGTATTCACGAGAAGTTATTACCACTTAAGTAATAATTATGCCTCTCAAAAAAAAAAATGGAAGAACACAATCATTGTTTTTCCTATAACACAAAAGACTAGGAACAAAGAAGAAAATAACATGTATATTTATTGTAATATTCCTATATGTGACTTGTTCATCATGATATACTTGGTTACTGAAAAAAAATCACAATCGACAATGCAAGAGGCAGCTCGAATAGTTACATTAATTTTAAAACAAATACGAAAACAGAAACCACCAACAACTTATTCCGTTGAACTTAAGCATCCTCAACAAAAAGTCACAGTTAAAAAGATCATTGCATTGCAAAAGTGAAGAGGTAACATTAATACAGTTATATAATAAAAATATTTCAACTTTTACATTATTTTACTTCCTCTTTCATTTCTATACTTTCAGTTAGTTTTTCACTTGTGTCGATTTGTTTCACGGAAGAAGCCACTTTGTTAGTATCTTCACTGGTACATGCTATAACTATGTTATTAGAATCAAGAGATTCCACTCTATCGGGTGATTTTGAAGTTCCATTAGATATTTCAAGGGTATCATCGTTTACTTCTTTTTCAGGAGTAGAAGTTTGATCTGACATTACTTCACTTTTAGTTATTTCAGTTTGGTCTGGTATTACTTCACTTTTAGTTATTTCAGTTTGGTCTGGCACTACTTCACTGTTAGTTATTTCAGTTTGGTCTGGAATTACTTCACTTTTAGTTACTTCTTCTGCATCCGCATCCTTTTCAGCTTCAAATGATTGGTTTTCTATAACTGTATGATTACTATCTAAACTTACATCGAGGTCTTGCTGAGAATTATTTAATTCTTCGGAACTATCTTCTACCTTGTTATCACTTTTTTCATCTACATTAATAATTTCATCTACATTATTACTGCTTTCTTTTATATCACTGACTACAGATTCATTTTCAGTTTCTTTCGTTGCTTCGCTATTGATGTTTTCTAAAATTTCAGTTTCTACCCTCTCTTCTTTTGATTCACTACCTGATGTTATAATAGAACAAATATCTTTGCCATCCAGTAATAGTTTAACAAGAGTTGGCTCCTTTAAGCTGTCTAAGAATTCGATTTGGAATGTTATTGATTCATCAGCAGCTAATTCATCTAGTTTTATTTTGGCATCCTCATAAGACACATTAGAATCGCCCAATCCAGCCAGACGACAACACTTAGCTAAAGGTTCTATTACACTAAGATGCTCAGGCAGTTGCTTAAATTCTTCACATTTAGCTTTATTACCATAATCTATGAACTGTACATGATAACCTACATCACAAAATTCTAAAATTCTGGCCCTGTACCACAGTTCATCTTCTGACCAAAATGCGGCGCACAGTGATCCCACTTTCAAATCGGAAACTTGTTCAAACTGTGGACTTTCGCACAACTCTTCTGTTATATTTTCTAGGGTAGCTGCTGATTCATCAAGATGAACGTAAAATTCGTCTAAGGAATTTACATGGCAAATTTTACCACTAGTGTGCAAGTCTTGACCCACGGGTGTTGGCCTCTCTGTTATCGGATGTTCTTCACACAATCCAACAAGTTCCTCAGTTACTGATTTACCTTCTAAATAAAGTTCTACAATTGAAATATCACCAGCAGCAATAAATTGTACATTAAAAATAGTTGCTCCCTCTGCTGCAAGCTCGTTAAACTTAATTTCTGATTTGCGCGACCACGATTTAATGTCTCGAGGTTTTTGCAATGCACATTTTCTTGAAAGCGCCGGTTTCACTTTAAGTTCGTCGGGAAGACTACGCAATTCATTTGCAATTGACGCATTTCCATAATCCATGAACAGCACTTCTGTTCCTTCTGATCCATCTACGATGACTTGTGCTCTGTACCATGCGCCGTCTTCAGGATACTTTGCTGCGCAAATAACGCCTTCTTCTTTTTCGCTAAGTTCTGGGAAGTTTTCGGCGTCGATCATAAGAGCTTCCATAGCTTGTAATTCAGGCGTGGCTGTTTCCAACTGAATCCAAAACTCCGACGGGGAATTTACGTGACTGGCAAAACATGAGGGAAGATCGCCACATTCCGTTTCTTCTGATCTTGTGGCGTGACCTTCTGATACTAATTTGTCAGTAATATTTTCACCATTAACGAAAATATCTACATACGTCATAATATCTTTAAGTACAATAAGTGCATCGACTGGAGCAGTTATATCGCCGACAAGTTGAGTGAAATAATCAGAAGCCGGTTCTGACCACTGGCCTGTGCCTGTTGGTATAGCATTGACACTGGATTTAATAGCCAAGCGCTCAATTTCCTTCAAATGTTCTGGTATATCTTTTATTAAGCCAGGCTGGTTATCTAACACATCTGTGTTGCCATAGTCAATAAAGCGAACCGTTGTGATGTCAGAATCCGCATCTAGAATTTCAGCGCGGTACCATTGATCATCGGCTAAATATTTAGCAACACATAATGTACCCATTTCACGATTTTCAATGTCTTTATAAGTGTCAGCATTCTCTTGGAGCTCTGCTTGTATCTTCTCTATATCATCTACTTTGTCGACCATCTGCAACCAGAAGTGTCCAGGTGTATCGATGTGGCTGATATACACTTGGGTACAACCTTCGGGTAATGAAGTGGGTCTTTCAGGCATTGGTTCAGTCTTATGCTCTTCGGTTGAAATTATTTGGGGTGTTGCTAATTTTTCATTGACTAGTTTCATTGACAAGTCTACGCCCTCTAGATGCAAGCTTGCAAGCCACCCATCGTCACCAAAGGCAAGAGTGACTTGAACCTCCTTATCAGTAGTCCATTCAGTTAGTTTTTGGAGGGTATCATCCTGCAAAGCTACAAGACCTAGACTGGCAACAAGAGCTAAAGAGCATGGCTCATAGAATTTGGCATCAAGTTTTTTAAGTTCTGTTTTGGGTAACGTTTCCGTGTTTCCGTAATCAGTGAACTGAACTTTTACTCCCTCGTCTTCTATGCTGATTATACTAGCCCGATACCAGTTACCATCAGATGACTTGGCCGCACATAAGCAGTCTGCTTCAAATTCGGTGAGTGCTTCAGGTGTTCCTGTAAATAAAATAAGGTGATTAATTTGTTTATTGTTTGTTAATTAATTTGCCGACAACTTATTACAAACAAGATTTGATGATTTGATTCGAGTGATTCACTCGCATAACTCGAAATACAATGAGATTTAAGTAAGAATAGGAATGTTTATGACTTCGAATTACCGCGATCTGTCAATTGGCACTTGAAAAGTACAACTTGTAAAGAAAATTAATTTTCCACTTTATATTTGTTTAACCGAGTCTTAGTATTACTAAATCTATTGAATTCATAAGGGACCATTCATAAAATACGTCCCACAAAATTTTTCCTTTTTAGACCCCCCCCCCCCCCCCTTCGTCGCGCTATGTAATTTAATATGCTAAACAGTTTTTCAAGAAAAGAGGCTACACTTTTCTAAGTTAAACATGGCAAAGGCAACATCGGCGGCGGTTATCACTTACAAATAACATGAGTTTGCCTCTTTTTTTTTTCTACAAAAAAATAAATAAATATAATAATAATCAGAATACTATACCTTCTTCATAGAACTTATATAATTCTTCTAGCAACAAAGCAATTTTATCGCTGTCTGACGACCTCTGTAGGTAAAACTCGTTCAGGTTCTCTAAATGAGAAATATACGCCATGCCAAAGTTGTAATTGAAGACGGCTCTAGTGCACAGTGGAACCACTTCATCGTATGCACCTTCGTCGGGCTCGAAGATAGCGATTTTTTTACCGTTCTCGCGATCGTACAATGTTGTTACTAGCCTAAAACCAAATACATTTAGATAATATGTAAAGTGCGTTTATATAATGAATTGAAAAAATATTGTTTTTACAAGATGAGGACGATAAACAAACATACATTTTTCACCTGGTGATAAGTAAATATTGTGGCCCATAAACATCTACATCTATCCTTGATTAAGAATTAAAATGCAGTTGCGTTGTCACCCCTGAGGACGAAGATGGAATGCTCCCTTACCAGTAGAGTTTCCGGTTCTCTACACTCTCCATTTTTTTTTTTTTTTTTTTTATAGGATCGGGTGACAAACGAGCACACAGTCCACCTGATGGTAAGTAGTTACTGTGACCCATAGACATCTACATCTATCCTCAATAAAGACTCAAGATGCAGATGCGTTGTCACCCGTGAGGACTAAGATGGAATGCCTCTTTGCCAGTAAAAAGGG